CCATCATCCATCCATCATCCATCATCCATCCATCATCCATCCATCATCCATCCATCATCATCCATCCATCATCCATCCATCCATCATCCATCCATCCATCCATCCATCATCCATCCATCCATCATCCATCCATCATCATCCATCCATCCATCCATCCATCCATCATCCATCCATCATCCATCCATCATCCATCATCCATCATCCATCCATCCATCATCCATCCATCCATCCATCATCCATCATCCATCCATCCATCATCCATCATCCATCCATCATCCATCCATCCATCATCATCCATCCATCCATCCATCATCCATCCATCCATCCATCATCCATCCATCCATTCATCCATCCATCCATCCATCCATCATCCATCCATCCATCATCCATCCATCCATCCATCCATCATCCATCCATCCATCCATCCATCATCCATCATCCATCCATCCATCATCCATCCATCCATCATCCATCCATCCATCCATCCATCCATCCATCCATCCATCCATCATCCATCCATCATCCATCCATCATCCATCCATCCATCCATCATCCATCCATCCATCCATCCATCCATCCATCCATCATCCATCCATCCATCCATCCATCCATCCATCCATCCATCATCCATCCATCATCCATCATCCATCCATCCATCATCCATCATCCATCCATCCATCCATCCATCCATCCATCCATCATCCATCCATCCATCCATCCATCCATCCATCATCCATCCATCCATCCATCATCCATCATCCATCCATCCATCCATCCATCATCCATCCATCCATCATCCATCCATCCATCCATCCATCATCCATCCATCATCCATCATCCATCCATCATCCATCCATCCATCCATCCATCCATCATCCATCCATCATCCATCCATCCATCCATCCATCATCCATCATCCATCCATCCATCCATCATCCATCCATCCATCCATCATCCATCCATCCATCATCCATCCATCCATCCATCATCCATCCATCCATCCATCCATCCATCCATCCATCCATCCATCCATCCATCCATCATCCATCCATCCATCCATCCATCCATCCATCCATCCATCCATCCATCCATCATCCATCCATCCATCCATCCATCATCCATCCATCCATCCATCATCCATCCATCCATCCATCCATCCATCCATCCATCCATCCATCCATCATCCATCATCCATCCATCCATCATCCATCCATCCATCCATCATCCATCCATCCATCCATCCATCCATCATCCATCCATCCATCATCCATCCATCCATCCATCATCCATCCATCCATCCATCATCCATCCATCATCCATCCATCCATCCATCCATCCATCATCCATCCATCCATCCATCCATCCATCATCCATCCATCATCCATCCATCCATCATCCATCCATCATCCATCCATCCATCCATCCATCCATCATCCATCCATCCATCATCCATCCATCCATCATCCATCCATCCATCCATCCATCCATCCATCCATCCATCCATCCATCCATCCATCCATCCATCATCCATCCATCATCCATCCATCCATCCATCATCCATCCATCATCCATCCATCCATCCATCCATCCATCATCCATCCATCCATCCATCCATCCATCCATCCATCCATCCATCCATCCATCCATCCATCCATCCATCCATCCATCATCCATCATCCATCCATCCATCCATCCATCCATCCATCCATCCATCCATCCATCCATCCATCATCCATCCATCATCCATCCATCCATCCATCCATCCATCCATCCATCCATCCATCCATCCATCCATCCATCCATCCATCCATCCATCCATCCATCCATCCATCTTACCGCAGCAAAGCTGCTGTTCTGGAGGAATGAGGTTAGATTGAGTTCTGGGCTCATTAGCTGCAGAGCTGTGGTCAGTCTGAAGATGGAGACGCAGAGGAAACCTGACGGCGTCTCTGCAGCTGCTCTGGAGTCTGTCTCCTCCCTGCAGCCGCATGATCCAAACCAGGAGGAAAACTCTTCCCTTTGGATTCATTTCAATGGTTTAAGTTCACCTTCATGTCTCTGCAGCTTCTGGGCTGCAGGTGGATTCCAGGAGAGGAGGACTTGTTTTTAAATCAAGGGAGTTCAGAGATGATTAGACGAGAGCATCAGATACACCTGAACCGATTGAAAACAGGTTCCTGGCAGACGGATTAGAAGGATCTACAGAGCAGAACATCAGGAAACAATCAGAGGAACATCTGGGAGCAGCTTCAGTGATCTGTGGTCCTCAGACGGATCATCCACCAGCTCACAGAGCAGGGAAGAGTTTGGAGAACCTGATCTTTAGATTCCCAACCTTCTCCCCTCAGAGGAGGCAGCTTCTCTGGTTTCAGAGGCTTCTGGGATGGACCAGATGGATCAGATGGATCAGGACCAGCCTGATGTCAGGAACCAGTCGAGCAGAGAATTTAGAGCAACATCTGCTGCCTTCAGTACCACATCTTCTCTAGTGATGTCATCAGATGATGGCTGAGGAAGCGGAGCTGCTGGACTGAGCAGTCCTTATGGATGGAGACAGAAGAAGCAGAGATCTGCACCAACTGGTTGGGAGGAGGAAGATCTCCCAGTTCCTTTGTTGCTTGAATCAACAGGAATGATGGATTTATGGAGGGAAGCGAAGTGTTTGGGAAGCTGAACATCTCCCAGAGAGAGAAGATCGAGCAGCAGCTCTAATTGGAGATGATGGATCTGGCTTTAATTGTCAGCAGCAGAGTTTGAGGCAGCAGGCGGCTGCAGCGTGTTTACAGTCAGCAGGATCATTAAGCCGCCGTCTGGGATCATCTCAGGATGATTAAACACTGAGCATTTCCCCGTCAGAAGGTACTTCCTGCTTTCAGTCGGCGGCTGCATGGAGTTAAATGAAAAGAGCTTTAGGCTCTGATGGTTCATTATCTGCTCAAACTCAGGCTGACGTTTTATCTGAGGCAGAAACATCTGCACACATGTGGCTTTGACCTCCATCACCACCAGAAGATCTTCCTCTGGTTCTTTCAAGGTGTTAAAAAAGAGAAACAAACCAGAATCTGTTCATCTGAGACTCAGAGCTGGAGATCAGGAGCAGCCGCTGCCTCCTGAGGCCTTCAGTGGATCTAAGGCCTGCTTCCTGTCTCTCATTGCTCTCCGTGTTTCTGCAGCCGCCAAGAAAGCCCAGTGGCTGGAGAAGGAGGAGAAGGCGAGGAGGCTGAGGGAGAGCCAGCTGGAGGAGCGCAGGAGGAAACTGGAGGAGCAGAGGCTGAAGGCGGAGAAACGCCGAGCTCTGCTGGAGGAGAAGCAGACACAGAAACTGGAGAAGAACAAGGTGAGGATCTACAGGCGGCGATTCAGGATGTGAAACTATTTTATTCTCCAGAAAGGCTTCGTTTTATTGGCTGATGGGGAAAATGGAATCAGTCAGACAGAAAAATGGGATTTAGGCTTCAGACCTCGTGGATAAAACTCAGGAGAAAAATCAAAGACTGGAAGCTAAAAGGACCCAAACTGAGCCAATAATAATCAAATTGATTTTATTGATTTTTCATATTCGATCAACAGACATCCCATTCAAAACATACAGAACAAAATGGTTGGCTCAACATTTTAATGACAGAAACGTCAAAAACACAAACTAGCAACAAGACGGATCCTACCAGACACGCCGCCCCGTTCCAGACTCTCTTAGGCTGAAACTAAATACCTACATTTGAATGACAGTAATAACCACACTGTTAATAATTATGGGAAAAACAAATTAAAAAAAAAGGAAGGGGGGAATAAAGGGGCTAGTTAACCTGAATCAGATGGAAATTCAGATTCAAAATAGGAAATAAAGGCGGCCAGACTGAAATATTTTTTAGTATTGCCTATAAAGTAAATCTAAAATAAATTTAAGATGTCCCATAAGCTCCTCTACCCCTCTTTTTGGCGCCGCCTTTATCCAATTAAATAAAATCAGTCTACGGGCGAACAATGACAATGATCACAGAACGGCTGCCTGGTCCAGTTTAACCAGACTGGAAACATCTAAACGTTTACAGGCTGGTTTCTCTTTAAAGTAAACTATGTAAAGGTTAAAGGGGAACGCCGTTTTTTTACATTGGACCCTTGATTTTACGTTATTACATCATGTTCTACTCACCTATATGAGTTTTGTGTCAAGGGACCAATGTTAAAAAAGGCGTTTCCCTTTAAAGAGACTTCATCAGAGTAGTTGGTTAAAAAAAACAGGACAGAATATCTTACTCATAATTATATTTTCACTTTTCCTATTTGATTATTTTTTTATTGTTATTAGATGTTTTATAGTCTACATTAATCCACAGGAGCGATACGAGGCGGCCATCAGGAGGTCCACCAAGAAGACGTGGGCTGAGATCCGCCAGCAGAGGTGGTCGTGGGCCGGCGGCCTCAACCAGACCTCCCGCAGAGAAAGTGAGTTTCTGATGAGGAGCTGGGAGGGGCAGAGTGTTCGGCTACATGTCATTTGACTCTCTGTGTTGCACAGACTGCAGCTCAATGCTGCAGCTGATGCAACGCCAGGAAAAGGCCTGCCTGCCTGGGGGGGCGGGGTTACCGAGGGCGATGACCCACACAGTTGTGCCTGCTGCTAACGCTAACATTCCCTGACTGTTGCTGGAGAGTAACAGACCTTCTGAGTCTGCGACATGCTGGAGGAATCCTCAATCTATCTGACTCTGTCTTTATTTTCATTGTCTTTATTTTGGAACACGCACCGTCCCTTTAAATCCACCATGTTTTCTATCTGAACCCTAAACTTTCCTCAAACCTCCATCCCTGCCTCCTGCAGTCTGCGTCCAGATGGGCTGAAGTTTAGCGGGGGGGTAGTGAGCACCTGAAGGCAGCTGTGTGATCCAGACTGGTGGGGGGGGGGGCATTCCTGTCTCCTGATGGCAGTGGGCGCCGCCACGCCCCGGGTCCCATATGAACAGTTGTTGTCTGTTGCGTTCTCTCCGGTGCAGGCAGATGCTCGGCCTCCACGGTCAACTTGCCCAGACAGGTGGACCCTGTCATTAACAGCAGGCTGTCCAAGTCCTCTGCCACGCTCTGGAACTCCCCCAGCAGAAGTAAGGACAGGCCGGCGTCAGTGTCCACCAGGCCTCCTCTTCCTCCCTCACCCCTCCTCTTCATCCCCCCTCCCTAATCTGGTTTTCTTTGGTTCTTCTTCTAACTGTTGTCTGTGGTGGCCTGCCTGCCTGCCTGCCTGTGCTTGGTGACCGGTCATTACCGCCTGCTTCCTCGTCCCGTCACGCTCTGGGTCTCGTTTGCATCGTGGGTTTTTATTTTAGTTGGTGGTTTGTCTTTGATTTGAGTCCTTTGCCTCACATTTGCTTCATGGTTTATGAGCCTCCATCCGTCTCACCACCCGCTTCTTGGTTGTCTCCTTCACTGTGGTGATGGTGGGGGGGTTATACTGACTGTAGACAGTCAATCAGAGTGTAACTATTACACTCCCATCTGATCTATCCATGGGCGGTTCTAGGCAGGGGCCAACGGGGGCCAGTGCCCCAGTAGATCATGTCCTGGCCCCTGTTATGGCCGCTGTACTGAAGACATAATACTAAAAGAAATGCTGATGATGATCTGCGCTGGAACAGACATGATTACCGATTGGTCCTTTGGATCCATCTCATTTGTTTTCTTTACAAATTCTTGTTTAATTATTTAAAAACAATAAGCTGATAGCTTCAGTGATAATGAGATACGATCCCAGTGTTCATCTGCTAAATGTTTTTTTTTTCAAAACAAATAAAAAACGATTTTTTACAGCTGAATTGATCAGTTTTTCTCAAGTTCTAATTGAGATTTTATAGAAAATTGTAATTTTAACAGAAATTAAGTAGAAAATATGTAAAATTCCTAAATAATGAGTGTATATTACCATAATAAGACAGAATTTTAATAAAACCTAATTGAAAATAAACGTCCCTTCATGCAGCAGTCTTAATATATCGGTATAGCTTTCCCTGTTTTTAACTTTATGCTTTTCTGTTTCCCCTATGAAAATACACCGCCCCCCCCCAGCCCCCTTTTGGTCTTGAACCGCCACTGGATCTATCATTATTTGTTTGTATTACTAGGCTGTTAAGTTTACAGCTTAAATATCTGTTATCATTATTATTGTCAGCTGGACAGTCTTTGGTTACAATGACAGGAAATCACATTGAAAAACCAAATGTTAGAAATGTGTGATTTTCTATAGAAATGTGAAAAATCCATAAAATGCTGCTTTAAGCTAAAGACCAACCGTCATGTTGACGTTAGGGTTAAAAACTGCTTCCAAAAATGAATAACCCCAATAAATCAGAGACATGCACACTGAATTTGATTTTGCATCTGATCAGAAAGAAAATCATGTCGTATGACGTGAAAAAAGATTGGATCAGAAATTAAGAAGCGGCCGATGTGACTCAGGCTTTAAGAAACAAAATATCTGTTTAATTTGATTTATTTTGACTTAAATGTTTACAATATTAAGTGACATAAACAACAAAAGGCTAAAGTAAATTCATAATGTCGGCTGGGTGGAAGTCAGTGGCTAGCTGTAGCATGCTAGCTGTGAAAGGATAAATAACCAGAATTTAGCTTAAATCAAAGATTTTAGCTTTGAAGAACTTAAAACTTTAATCGATTTATTTTTTATAAAGTAACATGATTTTCTTGTGAGTTTTTTATGGCTCTTTTTCACATTGGAGGGCTAAAGAGGAAAGGCTACCTTTAGCATGCTAACATGTTATGTCTTTAACACAGTTAGCAAAAAGCATGAATGGGACGTGTATTTATAGTATTTATGTTGTATAAATAAAAATGTGTGTTCATTTTAGATTAAAAGAAGTTAAATTAGAAGGTTTTTTTTTAAGTTCCTTTAACCTCCATTAGCTAGAAGAAACCACAAAGCTAATGCGCCACCATAGATTGCTAACAGGGCTAGCTTTAAAAAAGCTAATGCGTCAAGCGTAGCTCGTCCTACATCAGACTGTTAGATGAATGCATGATTATTTTTTCTGAGGTGGATTTACTACCATGAAATACAGCAAAGTTAAAGTTAAGATTATTATTTAGTTTAACTAAGAAATGATCAATAGCAGCGTAGCTTTAGCAAGCAGTGGTCACCCCTACATACCTTATATATTTCATTTTATTATTTTCAGAGTCTGTTACTCAGTTGCTAAATGTAGATACCTTAAACATGAGTAACTTTTAAACTGAAAATGCTAAACTTGGTTTTAGCATTTCTGATAAATAGCCTAGAAAAGCATTCAGAATAGAAACTGAACTGTTTGTGCCGTGTCTGTTTTACGCTGCATTCTTCAAACTCTAGGAGGCTGTAAATGAATCAATAAAGCCTTTTTTAGTTTGAGCTTATTCACAGTTTTGGCTTCAGTCTGTTTAAAATCAGAATTTAATTCAGCTACCAGCTTTATCAGAACCCATCTTACAATGCAGGAATTTAATCCCATTTAATTGATGAGCACTAAATTAGGGTTAAACAAAGTGAAACTTGTTGCTAATGGTGAGAAAATCCTACGCAGATCATCACCCAAACCAAAAATGGTAGCTTCAGTAACCTTTAGCCACTAAGCTACAATGGCAGCAGGGGTGATATTATGCAGATGTTCTGGTCCAGTTTAAGGACAAACACTTGATCTTAGACTTTTGTTTTAGGATCCATTTAAAGTTCACAAAGGTTCACTGATTTCTGCTTTGTTTTTAAAAGTTCTTAAACCGCCAATCAGGAACATTTAACTCACGTTTACACAACAGCAGCATGTTTCTATTTTAGAGCTTGTTGCTTTTAAACAGCCAAACGCAACCAGCCATTCAGCTTTGAGCTTCACTGTTGCCATGGTATCGACTCAGATCATCAATAATAAAGCTGCAAGAATTTAAAAGGACAGGATGGATGGATGGATGGATGGATGGATGGATGGATGGATGGATGATGGATGGATGGATGGATGGATGGATGGATGGATGGAGGATGGATGGATGGATGGATGGATGGATGGATGGATGGATGGATGGATGATGGATGGATGGAGGATGGATGGATGGATGGATGGATGGATGGATGATGGATGGATGGAGGATGAATGGATGGATGGATGGATGGATGGATGGATGGATGGATGGATGGATGGATGATGGATGGATGGATGGATGGATGGATGATGGATGGGTGGATGGATGATGGATGGATGGATGGATGGATGGATGGATGGATGATGAATGGATGGATGGATGGATGGATGGATGATGGATGGATGGATGGATGGATGGATGATGGATGGATGGAGGATGAATGGATGGATGGATGGATGGATGGATGATGGATGGATGGATGGATGATGGATGGATGGAGGATGGATGGATGGATGGATGGATGGATGGATGATGGATGGATGGATGGATGGATGGATGATGGATGGATGGATGGATGGATGGATGATGGATGGATGGATGGATGGATGGATGGATGATGGATGGATGGATGATGGATGATGGATGGATGGATGGATGATGGATGGATGATGGATGGATGGATGGATGGATGGATGGATGGATGATGGATGGATGGATGGATGGATGATGGATGGATGGATGGATGATGGATGGATGGATGGATGGATGATGGATGGATGGATGGATGGATGATGGATGGATGGATGGATGGATGATGGATGGATGGATGGATGGATGATGATGGATGGATGGATGGATGGATGGATGGATGGATGGATGGATGGATGATGGATGATGGATGGATGGATGATGGATGGATGGATGGATGGATGATGGATGGATGGATGGATGGATGGATGGATGGATGGATGGATGGATGGATGGATGATGGATGGATGGATGGATGGATGGATGGATGGATGGATGATGAATGGATGGATGGATGGATGGATGGATGGATGATGGATGGATGGATGGATGATGGATCGATGGATGATGGATGGATGGATGATGGATGGATGGATGGATGGATGGATGGATGATGGATGGATGGATGGATGGATGATGGATGGATGGATGATGGATGGATGGATGGATGATGGATGGATGATGGATGATGGATGGATGGATGAAGGAGGACAGCTGCTGAAAAGTGAACAGTCCCTCAGCAGCTCGTCCTGCTCCATTGTCAAAGGGAAATAAAGGGGGGGGGCTGTTTCCTAGCAACAGGAGGTAGTGAGGTCATCAGCTGTAAAACACGATGAGTGATGTCAGCTGTCATCAGGTAGAAGCTGTCTAACATGGTGTGGTTGGTCGGCGTACCGAGGCTCCGCCTCAGCGTGGAGTGCAGACAGGAGAAGCACAGAGATGAAACACAGATATTTCTTTCTTAGAATGAATCTGACATGATGATAGATTTCTAAGATCTTTGATCTTGAAGCTCCGCTGGCAGGAACAAGATGCTGCTGACTGGATCCATGGTTCTGTTGAGGAACCTGGAGAAATGCAGTCCTTTCAGGTAAAAGCTAAACCTGAGGCGTCTGGTCCAGAACCAGCTGTTGGGGTTCTGGCCTCATCAAGAAGCTCATTCTCCACATTTTCTCCAGGTGGTCAGAACATCTGTAAATGTTCCAGATGTTTGATCACCGTTCTAGAAACATATATCTGTAGATCACCCAGTCAGAGCACAGCCTGATGTCTGAGCCAGTCCTGGTACCGGACCGGAACTGTTCCGGAAGGAGCCATGGATGTCAGACACCACGCCGAAGGTCCTGTAGGATCAGGGAGGTCTTCCTCAGATGAAGGTCTGATGTGGAAACAATGGGATGGGTTAACTGGGAATCTGGAATCATTTATTAGAAACCAGTCTGGAGTTGCTGGGATGTGTGTGAAGCTTTCTGTGTGACGAAGGCAGAGATTCACCATGTGACCTCATCATCCCGCTCTCTGCTGCTTCATGTGTTTATCTGTGTTCAAACACATGAAGGCAGCAGGAAACGCTGCAGAGGAGGTGTGAGTGATGCCGCAGTACCCCGCCTCTGACAGCGCCCTCTTGTGTCAGCCCGCAGCCTGCGCCTCAGCCCATGGGAGAGCCGCATCGTGGAGCGGCTCATGACGCCGACGCTGTCCTTCCTGGCCCGGAGCCGCAGCGCCGCCACGCTCCTGAACAGCGGCGACTCGCGTGAGTAAGACGCTGGTCCCAGGCGGCAGAGGGACAGCAGGTCTGTTTGTCCCCCTGTTGGACCCTGAAACTGTTGGTTTGTTCGTCCCTGATTCCCTGAGTCCATCCAGAGCTGACTTCAGACATGAAATGATGGAGAGAGAAGCTTTAGAAGGACTCAGCAGGGACTGGTGATGTCTCGCTGCGTGGTCTGTCTCTGTCTGTCTGTCTGTCTGTCCTCTGTTTCTCTCTATCTCTATGTCTCTCTGTCTGTCTCTCTCTGTCTCTGTGTCTCTCTGTCTCTGTCTGTCTCTCTCTGTCTCTGTGTCTCTCTGTCTCTCTCTGTCTGTCCTCTTTGTCTCTGTTGCTCAGACTGTCCCCGTTCTCCTGTCCAGCCTCCTCCAGTCCCTTCAACAGCCGCTCTCATCAGCACCAGAGCGCCGCAGAGCGATGGAGAGTTTCCTCCGCCAGCACGCCAGACATCACACAGAGGCAGCGTCGGCGAAACTCCACCCCGGTGAGCAGCGCCGCAACTCAGTCTGTGTGGGATCCACGTGAACTTGGGTCGGCGTGTCACTACCTGATCCGATCCGTCCTGCGCATGCGTGACCTGATATACATCCGGGTGTCCATAAATAAATGTAACGATGGAACTAAAATGACTGATTTTCTATCCTTAACTCACTAGAGAATGTTAATACACATCTTTAAAAAAACGGTTTATGACTTCTGCTTCTCTGATGTCATCATGTGACACGCTCAGAGTAGTCCGGCTAAATCTGATTAAACCTTGTTTATCTGCATTTTAGTTGTTTCTTTCTATAGATTACGCACTATATAGCATTATGTTAACACGAAAGGAAAAAAATAAAATAATATATGTTTAAATCCAAAGCTGATAAAGTTAGCTCCTGGGATTAGCGTAGCATCCCATTTCCTGTACAGATCAGGAACAGAGGATAAAACAGAAAAGATTTTAATGTTTTTATTTTCTTAGAAAATATATTATTAACCTTTAACACGTGTTTGCTTATTATTTTTGGGGAGGTAAAAAATGTAATTTAGGTCTTTACAACAAAATAAAATCGAGTGCGACCTGGATGAATATCTGGGGGTATAAATGAGGACAGATCGCCCTTCCGGGTCGGATCGCGTAGCGGCACGGCGTTCAGGGATGGCAGAACCAGAGATCCATCAAACAGAACCTTCATGTCCAGTTTCTCCAGAACCATCCTGCCTGAAATCTGCTGGATGGTATACTAGTGTGTCTGTCTGCCTTCTGGGCTCTGATTGGTCAGAAACCAGGAAGTCCTCCAGCAGGAAGGAAGGAAACAGAGACCCACGATTGGATGGAGACTCTGGACATGTGGAGAGGAAACTAAATGGTTAATGGCCTGTATTTATATTGGGCCTTTTCAAGTCAGGAGACGTGACCAAAACGCTTTAATTCAGTTATTCACCCATTCATCCACACACCGATGGTGGTGAGCTACACTGTAGCCACAGCTGCCTTGGGGCTCACTGACAGAAGCCAAGCTGCCGTACGCTGGCGCCACCCTCTGTCCACCATCAGTAGGAAATGCAGGTGAAATGTCTTGCCCAAGGACACAACGACACTGAAAGCCGGAAGGTTGAACCGACAACCCTTGGATTGCAGGGCAGACTCCTACATCGGACACCACTGTCGCCCAGAAGGTTCTGAATATTTGACTGGATCAGAACCATCATTCAAAGCTAAACTGTGATCTTGGTTAAATGATGTCCTGCTTTCAGATGGAGCTGCAGACAGGAGGAGGAACCGAACGTTCACACCACCATCAGCGATCACTTCCTGGTCCGACGCTAACATCCTGATCTCACCTCCAGGGGGACAAGAAGAAGAAGGAGAAGAAGGACAAGGAGAGAGAGAACGAGAAGGAGAAGAATGCTCTGACAAAGGAGAGAGTGCAGAAAAAGAGACAGATGACATCATCACCAAGCGCCACAATCTCCAGATCCAGACTTGAGAGCAGGTACTGAAATCGCTCCCATAGCAGCTGGAGGCCGGTTCCTTTATCCTGAAGATGAGCCAGAACCTTGTCATGAGGGAGCTGGTTATGAACATGAACATAGAGGGTCCTCCTGATTCTCCTCATTGTTCCCCTTGTGGTTCTGCTCATTGTTCTCCTTTCCTCTGCTCCTCAGCGCTCCGAGGCCCAGGAACAGACCTCCTTCGCCTGCCCCTAAGAGCCGGCCGTTGTCTCCTCTGGTTCCGGTACCGACCTCCAAGACGCCCATAGGGAAAAAGACACCGCCTCCTTCAGCTGTCCCAAAGAACCGACCCAAACGGGCCCAGACCCCCGCCAGAGTGCAGCCCCAAGCTGTCTCTGCAGTTCCCGTGGAAACCAGAGACGGGAAGCAGCAGGCCGATGATTCAGAGGAGAAAAAGTGTAAGTTACCATGGTAACAAAGGTGCAGTTCAGTGTCAGTGTATCCGAGTACCTGAAATCAGAGGGGGAACTGAAATAGCCAACCAGAGAGCAAGTTCCTGACCCACAGTCTGACCCAAAGACGGACCAATAGACGGACCAATAGACGGACCCACAGACAGACCCACAGACGGTCCCACAGACAGACCAATAGACGGACCAATAGACGGACCCACAGACGGTCCCACAGTCTGAACCCACAGACGGTCCCACAGTCTGAACCCACAGACGGTCCCACAGTCTGACCCACAGACGGACCCACAGACGGATCCACAGACGGACCCACAGACGGACCCACAGACGGACCCACAGACGGATCCACAGACGGATTCACAGACGGACCCACAGACGGATCCACAGTCTTACCCACAGACGGACCAATAGACGGACCCACAGACGGACCCACAGACGGACCCACAGACGGATCCACAGACGGATCCACAGACGCACCCACAGACGGACCCACAGTCTGACCCACAGACGGACCCACAGACGCACCCACAGACGGACCCACAGACGGATCCACAGACGGATTCACAGACGGACCCACAGACGGATCCACAGTCTTACCCACAGACGGACCAATAGACGGACCCACAGACGGACCCACAGACGGATCCACAGACGGATTCACAGACGGACCCACAGTCTTACCCACAGACGGATCCACAGACGGATTCACAGACGGACCCACAGACGGATCCACAGTCTTACCCACAGACGGACCAATAGACGGACCCACAGACGGACCCACAGACGGACCCACAGACGGATCCACAGACGGATCCACAGACGCACCCACAGACGGACCCACAGACGGACCCACAGTCTGACCCACAGACGGACCCACAGACGCACCCACAGACGGACCCACAGACGGACCGATAGACGTACCCACAGACGTACCCACAGACGCACCCACAGACGGACCCACAGACGGATCCACAGACGCACCCACAGACGGACCCACAGTCTGACCCACAGATGGACCCACAGACGGACCCACAGACGGACCCACAGACGCACCCACAGACGGACCCACAGACGGACCCACAGTCTGACCCACAGACGGACCCACAGACGCACCCACAGACGGACCCACAGACGGACCGATAGACGTACCCACAGACGTACCCACAGACGCACCCACAGACGGACCCACAGACGGATCCACAGATGCACCCACAGACGGACCCACAGTCTGACCCACAGATGGACCCACAGACGGACCCACAGACGGACCCACAGACGCACCCACAGACGGACCCACAGTCTGACCCACAGACGGACCCACAGACGCACCCACAGATGGACCAATAGACGGACCCACAGTCTGACCCACAGTCTGACCCACAGACGGACCGATAGACGTACCAATAGACGGACCCACAGACGGTCCCACAGTCTGACCCACAGACGGACCCACAGACGGACCCACAGACGCACCCACAGACGGATCCACAGACGGACCCACAGACGGACCAATAGACGGACCCACAAACGGACCAATAGACGGACCCACAGTCTGACCCACAGTCTGACCCACAGACGGACCCACAGACGCACCCACAGACGGACCCACAGTCTGACCCACAGACGGACCCACAGACGGACCCACAGTCTGACCCACAGACGGACCCACAGTCTGACCCACAGACGGACCGATAGACGTACCAATAGACGGACCCACAGACGGTCCCACAGTCTGACCCACAGACGGACCCACAGACGCACCCACAGACGGATCCACAGACGGACCCACAGACGGACCAATAGACGGACCCACAAACGGACCAATAGACGGACCCACAGACGGACCCACAGTCTGACCCACAGACGGATCCACAGACGGACCCACAGACGGACCCACAGACGGACCCACAGACGGACCCACAAACGGACCAATAGACGGACCCACAGTCCGACCCACAGTCTGACCCACAGTCTGACCCACAGACGGACCCACAGACGAATCCACAGACGGACCCACGGACAGACCCACAGATGGTCGTCCAGAAAGCTGGTGGTCCCGCCCAGATTGAAGGATTCCAGGAGATTCTAGGAAGCAGATCTATAGGCGGGAGATCAGGATGTTTCCTTCATACGACCGGAACAGGAAACCGTGACGTCTGTGGTTATTATCTCTGTGTTTCGTCCAACAGCCTGCAGCAACCTTCCAGCCATAGTGGTCTCCTCAGCTCCGCTCACTCCTCCGTCTCTCAGCCCCCCAGTGGTGGTGGCACCAAGCGCTCCGCCCGCTGCAGCTCCAGCTGCCGCCTCCGTCAGCACCACATCCACCCCGGCCAGTAAACCGTCGGCCGGCACCAACGACCCGGAGGAGGCGGCCCGTGTCCTGGCAGAGAAACGAAGGCAGGCCAGGGAGCAGCGGGAGAGGGAGGAGCAGGAGCGTCTGGAGCAGGAGCAGCGCAACAGGTGGGAATGAAATCAACTGATGAAAGTTAAGGAGCAGTTTCAGCCAAGCCGCTGGTCCTGATCCTGATCCCGGTCTCAGCCTGGCTGATCTAGAACTGCAGGAACCAGAGGTTCAATATGGAGCCTGAGCTGCTCTCTGACTCCTCCTCAGGGCTCTGCGGGAGGAGGCCATGGCCCGCGAGGCCGAGGAGAGGAAGCGCAGGGAGGAGGAGGCCAGATTCATGGCGGAGCAGCAGCGCCTGAGGGATGAGGTCCAGAGGGCCGAGGAGGAGAAGGAGGCGCAGAGGAGGGCCAAAGCCGAGCAGGAGGAGAACGAGCGGCTGCAGAAGCAGGTGAGTCCGACCCAGTTGGACAAGTTCTGGTCCGTTTTTCTGGTTTATCTGATCTGACCCTGATAGCAGGACGCTCCGCACCTCCTCTGCTAAGATCAGCAGAGGGAGACTGAGGAGAACATCCCACAGGTGGATCAGGTCGGCTAAAGCTTCAGCTCAGCAGAACTGCTGAGGCTGTGGTTTCCTTCTGGTTCTGGTTCTGGTTCTGGGTCTCTGTTTAACCCAACCAGAACCAGGTTCCTGTTGGACTCCTGGCTTCCAGATGGTTCTGTTCTGAGCTCTGACCTTCTGGATCAGCTGAGGCGGGAAGTGGATGAGATGATGTTAAGGATCAGAACTTCTGCAGACCTTGCTTTGGTTCTGGATCTCTAAACTCTTCCTGATGGTTCAGAGATAAGGACCAGAGGAAGAACCAGAACCCTGAGGGGCGTCTGAAGCTCCGCCTCTAACCGATGCATACGGTTCACCGGCAGCGGCGGGTTGACAGGTGGATTCCCGTTGCTGAGAAGCTGTTAAAACACTGCAGACCCAGGCAGCATCTGCTGCCTCCTGCTGGCGCTCAGAAGCACTGCAGACGATGAATGTTTGACTCCTCTGCTGGTTCTGGATGATCCGAGTCTCCTTCTGGTCTCATTCTGCAGAGGGAGGAAGCCGAGGCTAGAGCCCGGGAGGAGGCGGAGCGTCAGCGCATCGAGAGGGAGAAGCACTTCCAGAAGGAGGAGCAGGAGCGGCTGGAGAGGAAGAAGGTGGGGACAGTTTCAAAGTTCAGAGAGTCACGATGTGACGCTCAGCAGAAAATCTGATGTGATCTGATCTGATACGCTCAGCGCCTGGAGGAGATCATGAAGAGGACCCGGAAGAGCGACGCAGGAGACAAGGTTGGTGTGATCTGTGGAAACTGGCCTGAAGTCATGAAGCTTCTGCTGTTGTTGAGCCGGAACACAAACATGTTTGTTGTTTGATCCTCAGAAGGACGTCAGGGCCCCCCCGCAGGTCAACGGCTCCGAGCTGAGTCAGGGTAAGGTCACCTCATGATGACGTTCACAGGAAGCGGTGCGGCTCCTCAGGAATCCATCCTTATGTTTCCGGTGGCTCGAAACGGAGCTGAACGCCGCAGAGCTTCACGTTCGTCACCTTTAACGCGTTTCTGAGCTGCAGGAGGCCTCTGATCCAAGACAGACACTAAAGATTTAAAGTTAGCCTCGCTGCATGCAGTTAGCCTGGCTACATGCAGTTAGCCTCGCTGCATGCAGTTAGCCTAGCTACATTCAGTTAGCCTCGCTGCATGCAGTTAGCCTAGCTGCATGCAGTTAGCCTCGCTGCATGCATTTAGCCTCGCTGCATGAAGTTAGCTTCGCTGCATGCAGTTAGCTTCGCTGCATGCAGTTAGCCTAGCTACATGCAGTTAGCCTCGCTGCATGCATTTAGCCTCGCTGCATGAAGTTAGCCTCGCTGCATGCAGTTAGCTTCGCTGCATGCAGTTAGCCTCGCCGCATGCAGTTAGCCTCGCCGCATGCAGTTAGCCTAGCTACATGCAGTTAGCCTCGCTGCATGAAGTTAGCCTCGCTGCATGCAGTTAGCTTCGCTGCATGCAGTTAGCCTCGCCGCATGCAGTTAGCCTAGCTACATGCAGTTAGCCTCGCTACATGCAGTTAGCCTAGCTACATGCAGTTAGCCTCGCTACATGCTGTTAGCCTAGCTACATGCAGTTAGCCTAGCTACATGCAGTTAGACTCGCTACATGCAGTTAGCCTAGCTACATGCAGTTAGCCTAGCTACATGCAGTTAGCCTCGCTGCATGCAGTTAGCCTAGCTACATGCAGTTAGCCTAGCTACATGCCTAGCTATTTGCATGTTTTCTAAACTAAAACCAGGCTTTGTTGGGCTGCTGGATAAAACCTGGAACTAAACGCTATTTCTGACATTTGGAATTGAAAAATCTTCCTGGATGGAAGAGAAACGTCTTCAAACTTGGAAACAAAGTCCAGTGGATTGATTTGAACTTTTTTAGGATGCTGCTCATCCTGGTTCTTTAGATTCTGTGGCCAAAGCTGCAGGAATCTCCACCTGAAAAGCTTTAGAACCGCTGCTGGTTCTGACTGAATAAAGACAGAAAAGGAAACGGGTCAGAATTCATCCTAACAGAACCAGGATGATGGTTCTGTTAGGATGTTAGGATAGAAATGTGACGTCAGAGACCAGGTTTATGGCGACCAGCTGATGGAGCCCAGCAGGAAGCTGACGGAGCTCCTCTTGTCTCTGCAGCTGCTGGTAACCTGCAGGGCCCCGCGCCGGTGGCCCCCGGCCCCCCTCAGACCGGCCCCCTGGTCGTTAACGGAGTCCAGGCCAGCACACATCAGAACGGCGTCTCAGCCATTGGCGATCTAGAGGCCATGATGACCAGCAGCCCACAGCAGCAGGGGGTGCTGGTGGCCGATCCTCTGCTGGCCTTTGAGGGGGCGGAGCCTTACCTGATGAAGTCGGGCGCCATGAAGCCTCAGCATGTGGCAGGTAGAGCTCCACCCAGGCTGAGAGGCGTCCTGGAGGACAGCTTTAGCTTCTCCCTCATCTTCTCTCCGTTCTCTCCCTGCAGAGGTGCTGTGAGCCATGATGGAGGGAAGCCTGGTCGCTCCGCCGCAGCCTGGAGATGCACGCCTCCCAGAGCGCGGCGGCTCCTGCAGCAGAGTGCCAAACCAGGGGGAGCTGAAACATTAAACCTAACGTCATCTCTGCGTGTTCCACTGCAGCACCTGTAGAGTTCTGCAGACCCAGAGGACCGACCCTGGACCAGCTGCCACTGGCCCCCATTACTCTGACCGTCGTCGTGGTGTTGTTCCTGTGACCTTCAGTTGACCTCTGTGTGTGTTTGCTGTTTTCTGTCCTGAATTGTTGAGTTATTTAACGTCAGCGGCGCCGAGCAGGCCGGCCGCAGGTGTAAATGTGTCTTCCTGCTACAGGAGGCCTGTGAATAAATAAAGCTTTAAGAAAACGGGCGGGGGCTGCGTAGATCTGTTCAGCGGGAGCGCGGCTCGCCAATCGGCTCGCCCCGAGGCCCTCTGGATCCCGACAGGAAGGATCCAGGATCGGTCCCGAGCATCCTGGGAAAATCAGCCGCTTCAATCCAGTCAGTCAGAGCGGCTGATTGAGGTCCGTTCCAGTCTGACCCACCCTGGTTCTGAAACTCTGCATCAGATGATTCAATTCTATTCAATTTATTTCTATAGCTCCAGTTCACATCATGTCATCTCAGGTCACTTTATAGATCCAGATCAACCAGATCATCCAGTCAGATTGATTCTTGGTTTTCTATCTAAGGAAAACCAGCTGATTGCATCGACTCATTGACTCTTCAGCAATCCCTCACACTAAGCATGCTTGTAGCGACAGTGGAGAGGAAAAACTCCCTTTGAACAGGAAGAAACCTCCAGCAGAACCAGGCTCAGTGTGAGCGGCCATCTGCTGAGGCCCACTGGGGTTCAAGGAGACAGAAGCAGATGGTTCTGGTTAGAACAACGTTCTTTAAAAATGCTGATGATTTCTCACACTGAGCATGAAACCAGTGGAAGAGAAAGCAGCAGAACCAGGACCAGGGATCAGGATCCCTGGTCCTGGTTCTACCTTCTATGTGAGAGGAGAAGCTAATGTGGCTCCATTTAGGTTCTGATCCAGGAGGACCAGGAACAGATGATCCCACAGCTGGAGGCGGTGACGCTCCTTTGATCAGTCCGTCCAGAGGAGACGATGGATCCTTTACTGCAGGGAACCACAGCTAATATTAGAGATTATAAACCTTTAAAGAGGAAAAGCTGCATCAAATTCCCTCAACAGAGACACTAACATTTATTCAGAGCTCTTCTTGTTTTCAGGCCTTCGCTCTGAGCTTCATGTTCCTTTAAATCATGGACTAAGAATGAAAATCCTCTGATGGTTCACAGTCTCTCCTGAAACGTTTGGAAATAGAAAAACTAGATTTTTTTCATATCTGATTTAAGACCAAACTTGTTTTGATTTATTAAACCAGGCATCCCCAACCTCGGTCCTCAAGGCCCCCTGTCCTGCAGGTTTTAGAGGTTTCCTGCTTCAGCACAGCTGGTTATAATGATTGCAGTAGAGCAAAAGCCTGTTAATCAGCTTTCAATTAAAATCAGCTGTGCTGGAGCAGGAAACCTCTAAAACCTGCAGGACAGGGGGCCTTGAGGACCGAGGTTGGGGATGCCTGGTTTACATCCATGTTCGCAGGAAACTGAGATGGAGTTTTAGCAGATCTCCAGCAGGTGGCAGCACTGCACAGATAAATATGTATAGGGCTGAGATAATTGAAATAATCTTCTAAGTAATTTAGTAATTAATTAATCGTTAATTGGAGTATAGAGGCTGTAAAATGTGACAGATCAACCCACTTAAAGCAATCATTTTATTTAAATCGTAGAAATAATATAGAAACATTTAGCATTTTAAGATAAAAAATATTTTTGTCAACCTGCTCTATCCAGAAATGTTAAAGTTTTTTTTTCATCTGGTTTAATTTACTAAAAAAAATCTTTAACGAATCTTTGGTTATCTGATTATTAATAGATTAATCAGGCAGAGATGCATCTTTTAGTTTCAGCCATTCAGCCGTTCCACAGAGATGCTTTGATATTTTCTAATTGATGTTTGCGCCTCGGCTTTGTGTCGACTCGTCGTTTCCTCTACAGTGGAAACAGGAAGTGATCATATGAGAGAGGTGGAGCTTCCTCTGCGGTTTGAACTGATGAGGTCCACGCCTGGAGGTCTGCAGAGGCTGAGCTGGTCCCTCATAAACAACCTCTGGTGCCTTTCAGCAGGTTCAGAGACCAGGCTGCTGAGTAGGAACCAGAGGAAATGCTGAGTCACTGGTTGCTATGGTGATTCCCTCGCAGCAGAACGTTTTTCATCTGATTCACCTGAAAGAGACCAGAATTTAAGCCTCTAAAGACTAAAGAGTCGGTTCTTCACCCGTTAGAACCTGATAAAGAGGCTGAAGGTTCTGGCAGGATTATCTGGTTCTGGATCAGGTCAGATGTTCTATATGGAGAAGTTCTGCTCCTCTGGCCTGTGGAGTTCCTCAGAGCTCAGCTCTAGGCCCACTGGTTTTCTCATCACATCGGATGACATGTATGAACTGTTAACCACACAGTGACTGGTTAGCAGATACTTTCAGGTGTTAAACTTGATCACTTTGGTGTCGTGGTTTTAGTTCTGTTCAAGTTTTATCTCTCAGTTTTCATTGGTCTTATTTCCATTTTGTTTTCTAGTTATTTTTGATTGTATTTGAGTTCTTAGATATTTCTTTTTTGCCCTCTTGTCTCCTCCTCCTAGCTCCCTTCTAGCCTCCTCTGTTCACACCTGCTCCCCATCTGCTAATCTGCTGGTCCTTGTTCCTCTCTCCCATATATTCTCCTCCTGATCAGTCTCTCTTGTTGGGATCCTTAATAAAAAATGACAGATCACGATCGCGACCACGTTTATTTCCCTGCTTGGCTGATTTCTGCTCTCAGCTCCTCCATCTCTGATCATTTACTGATGTTAGGAGCGTTTGCTGAATCTGACGGGCCATAAAAACCCACAGTGGGAGGAAAAGTCAGAGAGATTGACATAAAAGGAAGATGTTGCATGAGGCTTATTGTCTCTAAATACTGTCAGGCTGAACGATTCAGCTCATTGTTGAAACAGAATAATTCTAGCACGTAGAGTCGATGACTGGATGCAACCAACTGGTTTTCCTTAGAAAGCGTTGAGCCAGTCTGACTTGATGTTCTGCTAGTCACTGAAATCAGACACCATCTTTATTTTACAGAGAAGAAACAGGAGCAGTTTGGTTTGAGTGAAACTGCAGAGATTCAGTCAATTCTGCAGATTCTGCAGAGCAAAGAGTTTTCCTTTGAAAGTTTCTGTATGGTGTGGTTGGAAAAATTTGTTTCTCTTATTTATTAATTTATCCTATTTACTCACTATCAAAGTTTTTCACTCAGCCTGTTTCACCTGCAAGGCCACACCATTCTCTGCAGACAGAGCTTCTTCCATAACAAACCAGATTCTTTCTCAGGTTTATTCATAACATGTTACCGTTTAACCAAAGTGTCTGTAATTAGTTTTGACTCTGACTTCTTTCCATTATTGTCAGTAAGGAGGAACGAACGCTGCTTAGGTAGAACAGGGCTGATTAAGGTGCAATAACCAAATAAAGTGCCGACTGAGTGAAATCCATCGATCTCTGTTACTATAACTGGAATAAATAGCTGAATAATTAGATATAATTTGCACTGCAATGGTTCAACTCTTTTTAAAAAGCAGCTGAGGTATTCCCTGCTTTCTGCTCCACATGTCCAACCAGGTGAGGTCATCTGGCCTCTGATTCAGCCTCCGCATTAAAGCAGCCGCTGACGCTGCAGAGAACATTTAAGCTTGGAGTCTCACAGCTTCATTCAAGGCGCTTCCAGACGCCAAAGCGTTTCACATCTGCTGACGTTTTCCTCAGACGTCGTCCTGAAGCTTCATCTGCGTCCCTCTGTGCTCGGTGAGTTTTCCTGCTCTCTGACTTTAAAATCAAAGATTTTAAACTCTGACAACAGAAGCTCATGGGCTTCATCTGCAGTCGGCCTGAAATTAGATAACAAAAGAATCAGAATGCTGGATTGATTTTCGGTCCAGCTCCCGTTTGTCTCCAGAACTTTACGTTTCCATGTGCTTCTCTACATGTGGAGGAGATCTCCTCAGGCTCTCTATGGCCACATGATCTCACTGGTTAAAGCTGCCCTCCATTAACACCTCGTAAGATCTCACATTGTGGTCGCAGGAGAGATCTGCTGCAGTTAAATTTAACCTCGGCGTGAACAAATGGCTGCAGCCTGTTCTGCAGAGCAGGAGGGGCCTGGATGTTTCTGCAGAAGGTCAACGAGGGGCTGAAGTGTGACAATTCAGGGTTGTTCTTCCTCTCCTCGCTTTGATCCGCTGTCACCAGGTGGAAGTTCTGTTAAAAGGAGAAATGAGGAAAGAAGAGGAGGAGAACCAGGATCTGAGGGTGTTTCTCCTCAGAGTTCAGCTGAGTTGGGGATCCTGGTCCTGCAGCGGTGTCTGATGTTCTGAGGAACTCCAGGCTGAAACTAAAGGCTTTAAAATTGGCAGTGAAGTGGAAATAAATGAAGATTTGAAGGATCTTCAGGTTCCTCCCTCTGCAGAGCAGAACATCTTCAAACCTTTGGAGGAAATGTTGAGGATGGATGGTTCTGCATCTAGAACCTGCATCTCTGACCAGCTGATAGAACCTCATGAAGCTGCAGAACCTTCATCCCTTTCTTAGGTTTAGACAAACTTTATTGTCATTTTCTATGAGCAGAGTTTATATAAAGCAAAACGTTGTTGCATACAGCTTACATCAGCCCAGGGGGGGATTTACCGTCAGGCAATACCAGGCAGTTGCTTAGGGCCCCAAGTTCCTGGGGGCCCCATAAAACTCTGTTTCCATGTATGGTTAATACAACTATTCCTTATTTGTGTACATTAATTATGTTTTTGATAAAATGCCATCAGAACGCTGATAATATTAAGTGTGTCTCAGGCCCCCCCTTCAGTGTCCACCATATTGGATCAGTCCATCTGCTGCACATGTTCAGAAAGGTCCAAACAGACAGCAGCAAACCATTTGAAAACAAACCATGCAAAGAGCAGTGTTGCCAACTTAGCGCTTTAGTCGCTATATTTAGCCACTTTTCAGACCCCTCTAGCACTTTGATTTCTAAAAAGCTCCTAGCGCCAAATCTAGAGACTTTTTTCTGCTACTGGAGACTTTGGAGACAACATCTAAAAGCAGCGAACTCTGCTCTCCAGAGCGAGTAGATTGGTAACCCCGCCTCCTGCTCTCCTCTATCTTGTCTGCTGTCATGATTCATGCAGCTATTATTTCATCCAAATGAAAAATGGAGAACAGATAAGCAGATCATGGCTTGTCTACAGTGAAAAGAAGGACTGGGTTATTTACTTTGGCCTTTTTGGAAACACAGGAAGGAGCAATCAGCTAAGTGAGCTTAGTGCTTGGAAAAAATCTTTCATTCCTTTAGAGACAGCATGAAAAGTCAGCTGAGTACAAAACATAGAGAGGAAAACAAGAAGAAAAGGGACAAGAAGAGAGGGACACAACCTAGAACAGATAATGGATGTCTATTCTATTAACATTTCTCTATCTGGAGAATGGGGCTGTTTGATGTTCTCAGCTCAGAGGGGCCCCTGCCTGTCTTTGCCTAGGGCCCCACATTTCCTAAATCCTCCCCTGCATCAGTCTAATGATATTGCCGTTAGAATAAGATAATATTACAGTATAAAGTGCAGCAGTGATCAGAATGTAACAATTTAGGAGAAAAACAGTTTTAAATAATGGTGCAAAAATGCATTAACATGAAAGAAGTCAATGCAATGCAAAATAATATGCTGCAAAAAGCAGCAGAACTACAGTAGAACGTTTAGTGTGATGCTGAGTCCAGTTTAGAGTCTCAACAGTTCAGCTGTATGATGGCGGCGGGGAAGAAGCTGTTGCAGAACCTGCTGGACCTGCAGCGATGCTGCCAAGCCTCTTCCAACAACCAGGATTTGATTCCCAGCCTTCACTGAGCAGAGTTGCAGCCTGATGTTCTCCTCTGGCTCTGTGGAGGTTGCATCATGGTACGGGCCCGGGTTCGAGATCCAGAAAAGTTCAGCAGAGGTTTTCAACCACAGCCTGAGGCCTTCAGGACCCCATCTGCTCCAGGGAGATAAAACCTTACTCAAAAAGGATCTTGGAGGATCTGACATCTCAGAAGCTGCTTTCCCCTGAGATGCTGCACCTGTCGTTTAAACTGTATCTATACCTTCTTGTACCATTGTGTGAATCTATGTCAAAATCTAGCTGGAATGTGTGTGTGGTGCTTTGGCTGATAGCCTGAAAAGGAAAAGGATGTTATCAATAATATTTCTGTGCAACATCCTGAAGAAGCTGATACGTTGGGTTCTAGTTGTGAAAATAAGAAGCCAGACTGTGAAAAACTAGCAAAGTGCTTCAGCCCACCTGAGCAAGTGAGCACAGGTGGCAGCAGAACCAGATCAGCAGCCGAGGACCTGGAAACGTTCAGCAGGTGAGCTCAGGGGAGGAATGTAAATTTATACAAATCAAATCATTTCCATCCCTGGTCTGCATGTTCTCTGCGTTACATCCAGATCAGAAGCTTCCCTCCGGGTCCAGAACTCAACCTGCTTTCTTTATATTTCTGCTGTTAATTTTTAGTTTGGTTGTTTTATCAAATATTCCTGCAGCAGCAGAGAGAAAAACATAATGTCTAAGGGAGAAACTGTGGAGGACAGAGAGAGCTCCTGTCTGAGTGTTTGTGTTTGTTTTTCCGTCTCCATGTGGGATTAGGGGCTCCTCAGCCCAACAGGTGCTGCGGGCCCCTCTGAGCCGATCAGCTGCAGCTCTCAATCAGAACCAAGCAGTGAGCTGAGATGAACTGGAGCTCCTCCTGCAAACATCAACAGATCAGGAAGTAAAACCTGCAGATATCTGCTCCCTTTGCTGCTGCGCTGGTGGATTATGTTCTTTAAGTGTTTTAAACGTGCAGATTTCTGATCATCTCTGGTCAGAAATCTGCAGGATTTGCAGCAGCTTACTGGTCACCACAGGGCCGCTGCCAGCTATTTGGGGCCCCATGAAAGATATTGATATTGCCCCCGCCCCCTCAAACTTTAAAACTGCTATAAAGACATAAGTGCGTCATTTACATTTTTTATGTATTTTTTTTCTACACAATTTCAATGAATGAAATTATCCTCAGACGGAAAAGTTAAATATACTTTAACATTTACATTAAAATATCACCCTCTCAGAATAATAACAGCCTATTTAGAACAAAAAAAATAGATTAATCTTTGTACACATGAAAAGAAAATAGGTTTTGGATTTTGAAAATATGTTCCTATTTTGTTTCATTATAAATTGAAACAGAGGACAGATTATTAGATTATTGTTATGCTGAGAATTTATCTTTGGTTCATGTTTATATATAATGACAATAATGGTGAATATCTTCACACTTTGTTTCAATGAATAATCCTGAAAGATCAGGAAGAAAGCAACGATATTTATTTTACTGCGGGTTAGAGTTCTGCTCAGATGGACCTCGCCTTGGATTCAGGGCAGAGGGAGGAAAAGGAAAATCACTCATTAGAGGAAAAAACAAAAATGTTGCTGAAACTTTGAAGAAAGAGGAAGGATTTTTCTCTTCCTCTATTGAGTCTTTGAATCATCAAATTTCCAGAACAGTTCTTTGCAACCAGAGCAGCCATGCTGGGGGGGTGGGGGGCTTCTCTCTGTTGTCGCCTCTGACTCTTTCAGGCATATTTATAGTTGTCAGGTATCACTGAGCTCTTTGTGGCCGACTCGCTGCGGTCGGATGGTTTCCATCTCTCTGTTAAAACAGACTCAAACTGTCAGTCAGGTAGACGCCATGATCTGAAGATCATAAAGTAACAAAGGATTTAAAATAAAGTAAAAAATCTTGGTGTTGTTTTTGATCAGGACCTGTCATTTAAATCCCAGATCAAAGAGGTTTCTAGAATTTCCTTCTTTCATCTGAGGAACATTGCAGAAATGAGCAATCTCCTGTCCAGGGGTGATGCTGAGAAACTAGTCCATGCATTTGTTACTTCAAGGCTGGACTATTGTAATTCTTTACTATCAGGAAGTCCACAAACTGTAGTTAAAAGCCTTCAGCTGATCCAAAATGCTGCAGCCAGAGTTCTGATGAAAATGAAAAAGAGAGATCATATCTCTCCTATCCTGGCTTCTCTTCATTGGCTTCCTGATAAATCCAGAATAGAATTTAAAATCCTCCTTCTCACATATAAAGCCTTAAATGGCCAAGCTCCATCTGATATCAGAGATCTGATTGTTCCTTATGTTCCTAACAGAGCACTTTGCTCTCAGTCTGCAGTAAATTGTAGTAGCATCAGTTTAGCATTTCATCCCATTCTGCACAGCCAGCAACATAATATTAAAAATCAAATAATAAACCAGGATCTGATGAGGTGTTGCTGAAGTCTTTCTGATTTCTACAGGCAGGTTCACCACAATATTAGATATAAACCCTGAAACTATGGCTTTTAGTCTCAGTGGACACCCCAAGATTTTTATTGGCCCCATCTGCCCCCCACCCCCATGACACATTTCTGGAGGCGCTGCTGTTCTGAGGGTGTTTCTCCTCAGAGTTCAGCTGAGTTGGGGATCCTGGTCCTGCAGCGGTGTCTGATGTTCTGAGGAACTCCAGGCTGAAACTAAAGGCTTTAAAATTGGCAGTGAAGTGGAAATAAATGAAGATTTGAAGGATCTTCAGGTTCCTCCCTCTGCAGAGCAGAACATCTTCAAACCTTTGGAGGAAATGTTGAGGATGGATGGTTCTGCATCTAGAACCTGCATCTCTGACCAGCGGATAGAACCTCATGAAGCTGCAAAACCTTTATCTCTTTCTTTATTGTCATTTTGTATGAGCAGAGTTTATATAAAACATTTATTTATTCAGCTTACATCAGTCTATTGCAGCTGGAATAAGATAACATTAGAATATAAAGAGCAGCATTGATCAGAAAGGAACTCAGTGGGGGAATAAATCCCCCCTCCCCCTTCCGTGATCTTCTATAGTCACATTTCCGAAGTCTCGCGAGACTTTGTAGAAACTGCCTGGCTTCAGTTTGCGACGGTTCGGTGACTCGAAGCCGTTTAGCTTCGCTGCGATCAGAATCTAACAGTTTCTACAGTTATTTACCGGATAAAACCGGTTCCGTGTGTTTGGGTCGGACCTCATTCGCGTATCGCTCAGTCTGCGGGGTTTTTTTTGCCTTCGGTTCGTAGTTGGTTTTGCTAACGGCTAACAGCTCGCGCGCTAGCAGTTAGCAGGCTAACGTCTTTAGCTTCGGCTGCAGAGGAACCAGGAAGGAAGCGGTGGACCTGCAGGCTTCTTGGGCCGAACCTTCAGCGGATCCCCGGAGCTTCATTTGGACCAAGAGAAGCTGCAGATCTACGGAACCAGGCCTCCCACGGTCAGTTAGAACAGGAACCGGGTTCCTGTTGCGCTTTAACGGTTCCACTGGTTCTGGTTCTGGAGCAGAACCTCCTCTGATCTGGATTAGAAGGGATTAAATAATCTGTTCCTGTAACATTGAGACACATTTTGACTTCCTGTGTTTGATGCGGAAACTGGTTTAAATGTGGAAGTTTTGGCGGCGGGGACTTTAATGCAACAGTTGGATAAAAATCTTAGATTTTAGAGCAATCTCCCCAACCCCGGAAGTAGGATGCAGTGTCTACGTCACGATCCAGGCAGATCTGAGGGTCTTTATATTCCTTCATTTAGACGGAAGTGGTTAAAATTTGCTCATGGAGACACCAGATTATCTGAAACAAAGCTCCCATTTCCGGGATCCACGTGACTTTGGTGAAAGTATAGTTTAAAATTATAAAATTGGTTGGATCTGAGTTCTCAGAGCAGCTAAAGCTGATTAATTGTACCGTAAAAATGTAAAATAGTTGATCTGTTTAAAGAGGACTTTGAAAAGCTTCTTCTGTTTTGGGTTACATGTGGTGTTAATGTGGGGACATCTGTCCTCCTGAGGACAGGGAGGTCTTTCCCAGGAGAACATCAGCCTCCATCTTCTCAGGAGGTCCAGCCTAAAGCCAGACAGGAAGCTCAGAGAAACTCTGGTTCCTGTCTGGTTTGGGCTCCCAGTGGCCCTCAGAGAAAAGGTCCTGTTGGTTCCGGGGTCCGTCTGCAGAGGGGCCACGAGTTCCCTGAAGGTTCTGGGTTTTCTCCTGCTGCAGCTCATGTCTCTCAGGAGAAAATGGAAGAAGCTGAATTCATCGTTTATCTGCGGTGGTCAGAAGATGAAGTCTCACTTCTTCCAGATCACAGGAGGGGAACTAGACTGGAGAATGTAGACCACCTCTGCTGCTTCTAAGGTTAGGAAGCAGAACCTGGCGTTGGACTGCCTCTGGTCCAGTTTCAGGGGTTAAACCTGAGTTTAGGTTCTGTTCACTTACTGGCAGAAGGAGGCCGGCTGTTGGGTGCCTAGCAACCGTTGCTAGGCAGAGCGGTTTGTTGGTGGTCTCTAAGGAAAGCTGCAGTTTGAGGCCTGAACATGCGGCTCTGTCGGACGTCTGCTCCGTGTTCAGCTCCATGGTGGCAGAAAACCAGTTAATTAACATTTAATAATTTGATGATGAAAACGATCCTGATTATTATGATGCTGATGGAATTTATGAGGATTTAACCTTAACAGTGAAATTAGAAACCATCAGGTTTTATTTCCTGTTTCTAACACCTGATTTAACGGTTAAACAGGAAAGGCTTTTAAACTCAGTTTTTATTGGATGAAGTTGTGATGTTTATTTAGTCAGAAGGTTTTATGTCGTCAGATAAGGTGAGAGCTGATTGGCTGATTTTGAACCCTAGCTCCTCCTCCTCAGACAGGCAGCGAGCCTCCTGGTTCTGCTGGCTGATCTCAGCCCAGCAGCAGGTTCTGATGGCGGTGCAGCGCCGTCTGTGAGCTGACATCACGCTGACCTTAACGGTTGATTCATGTGTTGAAGGACAGAAGCTGACCAGGTCTGACTGCCGACATGTCCAAGGCTCCTGATTCTCCGTCCAGACCCAGATCCAGGTCAAGGTCTAGATCCAGATCCTACTCCAGATCCAGATCTCGAAGCCGCTCCCGCTCAAGATCCAGGAAACGCCACTACAGGTAGAACCTGTTTGCTTTCATGTTTGCTGATGAAGCTGTGATGTTTGCTGAAGCGTCTCAAAGTTCTCTAACGATCAAAGCGGTTCTGGAAGGAAAGGTTCTGATCCGGTTGGGTCTCCATCATGTTGGGAGGTGAAGGGTTAAAGTCTGACCACTGGGGTTTCCCTGCATGTCAATGATTGGTCAAACCGCCTCAGAGCAGTTACACTTTGCCCCCCCTCCTAATCTTCCTCCCACAGTGTGTGGGTGGATTGGGGGGGGGCTGTCCTGCGTTGACCTCCAGCAGGAGGCCGGATTAAAGCGCTTTACTCTGGACGGTTTAATGAGCAGAATGTTCTGGAACTGTTCTGACTCCATGGCTCTGGTTCTGTTGAAGCTCATCTTCAGGTTGACTTTAATCAGCAGTCTCACAGGGAACCAGGACGATGGCGCCATCTGCTGGTTGGATCCATGGCCTCCACGGCTCCATGTTGGTCCCCCTCTGGTTCTGCTGGAGTCCTTCCTGTTCATCTGGTTCTGAAAACCTGAACCGTGTCGACCCACTAATGCTCGGCTTTTCGCTCTTTTCCCTTTTTTTGAGTTTTTACGGCACGAGTGGCTGATTTTCACAGACAGTAGGCTGTAGGGGTGTAAATCACATCCATTTAGGGTTGTCAAAAGTATCGATACTCAAAAAAGTATCGATACTGAAACGTTGTATCCGGATACAATACTCATTTTCAAAAGTATCGAGTACCAGTCGCACCTAAACAGTCATTCATCAAAAGTGCAGAATAGAGGAAAATGCACTTTCTGAACACTGTGTGATTGAATAATTCTACGCACTTTTCAGTTTCAGACTTTTTTTGTAACAGTTGCCGCTGCTGAGAATAATTTTTTTTTCTTAACCGGTTTGGCTAGTGGCATTGTTATGTGTACAAAGCATAGCCAAGTAAGGAAAACTTAATTTTAATTTTGTAAGTTTTTTTATCCAGCTTGCTAAATACTGTGCACAGCAAACAACCTCAAAATGTTGTTCTTATTGTTTATTTATTTATTGTATTTAAATTATTAATCAAAATATTTCTGTTGACATTTTATCCTTGTGGTATCGAAAATGGTATCGAGTATCGAATATTTTCCTTAGTATCGGTATCGAGTTGAAAAGTTTAGTATCGTGACAACCCTACATCCATAATGGCGATTCGATTCACTATCGATTTCCTGACCCGATGATTCGATTATTTTTGATACTCTAGATTACACCACGATACGATTCAATTAATTTGTTCATTTTTTTTTTACACCTTACAGGCTAGACAATGTTTCAATTTTTTAAAATAAATCAATTAAAGCTGTAATATCGTTATGATTTTTTTTTTTTTAGAAACAACAGCAAATAACAGAAGTAGAAAAGTTTTACTCCACCTATTCCTATTAAAACCTCATTAACTGAAAAATAATAATTCCCCTGCGTTTTAGATTCTGAAAGGCCTCGCATCAGAAAATACTGCACACAATGGGTGCAATGCAATACCTCGGCTCCAGACGTCCCGCCCCTTCCACAGACGCTCCGCTGCTCCTCTCCCAGATTGTAGCTGACCGCAGACAGTGCCGCAGACAGGAGGCCGGCTTGTTTTGTTTTTATGACCAAAATTGCGGAAAACAACTCGTGAAGTTTGACCCGCTAGAAGAGCGAGGTGCGCGAGAACGCTGGGACCCTTTTTCCACCTGGATCTCCGCTCTTTTTGGCCCTCATGTCCCTCCGTCGTCGGACTAAACTCGCCCCCACTTCCTCGCCGCCTCGGCCGGATCTAGACCCACAGCGTGTAGCACAGACCACGCTTCAATACTGAGCATAAATAGAAAATGTCTGCATCAAGCTCACTGCAACACACTGCTGTAAGAGTATAACCAGAAGGAGGTGGGAGGGCAAAATAGGTTTAGCGCCACCACAGCACGGGAGGAGAATTACGCCCAGGAGCAAATGGATAAAATAGAATCGATTATCTTGCGGACGTATCGATGCATCGGATCGTCGGCTGTTGGATCGATGCATCGATACAAAACGATTATTATTTACACCCCTAGCAGGCTGACAGGAAAGGGGGTGTGAGAGAGAGACATCCAGCAAAGGACCACAGGTGGGATTTGAATCCAGGTCAGCTAGGGCCTCCATGCACGGGTTGAGGTCGCTAACCACTGCGCCACCGAAGCACGTCCCGCTCTTTGCTCATTTGACCGAAACACAGAGTGACCCCCCCCTGCTAGAAAGCTGCGTGGCCTCTGACCCCTACAGCTGCCTGTCTGGTGACATCATCACTCTGGGTTAGTGTTGATGTTGTCACCAGTGCAACAGAAATCAGGAAAGTAAACAATGGAGAGCATCATGGTAGGAAACCAGGGCGTAGTCAGTGAGCTTTATTGTTCCTCTGATCAGTTTGACATTCAGACGCAGCCGCCCCTCAGCGCCGTTCCCCAGAGACTTCTAGAAGCTTTGGCGTCCAGAACGCGCCGCTGGGAACGCAGCAATAGTCCGAGGAAAGGGATTAGAAAAGATGATATGGAACGCGACTCTGCTTATCAATGAAATAATATTCAGATAAAAGGATGAAGGTTAAAAGGTAGAAAAACCAGCAGCTGGTTTAGAAGCTCAAGAGGAAGAAGGTGGTTCATGTGCTGTGACCTGTTGAAGTGGTAACATCATCATCATCATCACTGCTCGCCCTTCTCTCCAGTTCCAGGTCTCGCTCCCGCTCCCACTCCCCCGCCTACAGAAGCTACCCTTCCCGGGACTATCAGGGCAACAACCGAGGCTTCAGAGGCTACAACCGAGGCTACCGCCGGCCGTACCACTACCGCGGCCGCAGCCGAGGCTACTTCCCCCGCGGCCATTACCAGAACCGAGGGAGGGGAGGAGGAGGAGGGGGCGGCTACGGCTACAAGTCCAACTGGCAGGCCAGGGGGGGAGGCTGGCATGACCGCCAGGAACACCACAGTCCCAGGAGGGGGTACTCGCGCTCCCGGACGCCCAGGAAGCGCTCGGCAAGCCGGAGCCGCTCCCGCTATTCGGACCGCTCGTCCTCAGGCCATTCCCGCCACTCAAAGCACTCAAGCTACTCCTCCCGCTCCCGTTCTCGCTCCTCGTCTCGACGCCGCGACAGCAAAGGCCGCCCCAGGTCCAAGGATCCGAAAGACAAGCAGCCAGAGGGTCAGAGCGAGAAGGCGGGCCCGTCCGGTGACGGCAGCGTCATCGCCAAGGCCTCTGGAGGGAAGTGGATCGACTACGATGGCAGCCCCAAGCGACGCAGTCCCGACTCTAAGAAGGAGGACGACGCTCCTTCTCCCAACTCCAAAGGGGGCTGGTCTGAAGGTGCCGGGATGTGGAAAACGGTCGGTTCTGGTTCCCCTCCAGAGAAGAGCCCCTCCAAGTCTGCTCAGACGGCTTCGTTTGGCGGCTTCGGCTTCTTCTCCAAGGAAGACGCCAAGGGCGGAGACAGCACCGTGATCTCAGCTGCTTTTAAGAAGTACGTCCCTCTGTCCTAAACGTCTGTCCGTCTGTCCATATGGTTCCCGCTGCTGCAGCCTAACCCCAGTTTCTGTTTCAGGTTCCTGGCTGAGAACAAACACAAAAAACAAACGTCTGAGAAGGAGAACAGTCGGGAAAAGGAAGCAGGCTCAGCAGAGCGAGAGGCGGAGAAAAGCTCCAAATCCTCTGACCTCTTCAACATGTCGGCTTCTTCCTACTCCGAACCCAAAGAGGACAAGGTTCTGCCCTTCTTCGACCCGGGAGAGGAGGAGTTCCTGGAGTCCCAGGGTCTCAAAGACCGCATCATCAACGAGGACGGCGAGGAGAAAGCGGGCCTCACGGCGCGCGATATGTTTGGGAAGTGGGGCGACGAACCGAGCCGCCCGGCGTCGTACCAGTCGGTGAAAGAGAAGAGCCGCAGAGACGCCGAGGAAGAGGAGGCTGTGGACGACGCCGAGGAAGAGCTGTACCGCAGCCGCAAGCACTCGTCTAAGAAAGAGGAGAAGTCTAAGAAGAAGGAGAAGAAAGAGAAGACCAAGAGGAGTCTGACTCCTCCGTCTACGTCCAAGGAAAAGGAGCGGCCGCTGTTTCCCGGAGCGTTTCCTGCCGTGGATCAGTCTCCGCCGCACCGCCTGTCTGCTTCCAGGCAGGAGTTTGAGCTGAAGATGAGTTCCTTAGAGGAAATGCCCAGGTATGTTCTCCGCCGCCCCCCTGAGGATTACTGCAGCATTGCAGCCACCATAAAACGTTCCTTTAAAGTTTCTGTTTCAGTTTATCAGGATAAATGTTTTCATCTCGTCCTCTCAGCTCGTCTCTTTCCAAAGATCGCCTCACGCCTCGCGACCTGCTCCATTCCTCCAAGAAAGATCCGGAGTTCCGCTCCATTTTCCAGCACATTCAGTCGGCGCAGCTGCGGCGCAGCCCCTCCGAGCTTTTCGCCCAGCACATCGTCTCCATCGTGCACTACATCAAAGGTAGGGTGCTCCCGGCGGCGGCGGCGCCACGCGGAGCTGCTCCGCTCTGTCTCTGTGGGTTAATAACTGTGGTGTGTTTGCAGCTCAACACTTCCCCTCGTCAGACATGACGTTAAGCGAACGCTTTGCCATGTACCAAAGAAAAGCTGCAGAGGCAGAAATGATGAAGCCAAGGAAAAGCCCAGAAATCCACAGGTACCGCATCATTCCGCCGCTTCCGCTGCGCCGTGGCGTTCCCCGTCACTAACCTCCTCTTCCTCCCGCAGGAGAATCGATGTCTCCCCCAGTGCCTTTAAGAGGCACCCTCACCTGTTTGAGGATTTGGACGAGACGAGCTACAAGGTGACGAGCACTTTAGAAATTAACCGTTCTTTGGAGTCTGAGACAATCTCGAGCAGCAGTGTTCAGCTCTGTGCTTTTCTTTCAAAGGATGCATATTTCTATATCAAAAGAGCCCAAATGTGTTTAATAAGTGCCAAGAAAGCCCCCAGCCTATGAGATATGATAATTGATTGGGTAAATACGAACCCGAGCAAAGGCTTAAAGGAAGTGAATTATGATCCAGGGTCCAAGCATCTCAAGGGACGCTTATCAATGCCTTTACCTTGTAAGTATTTTTCCTGCCCAGAAAACCATCCAGCCACAAACTGTGACGTCAGTTGCTGTTACTGAGCTTCATGCATGTTTGCTGCAACCTTTCTGTGATTATCTGCAGACACACAGCCAGTGTGTCTCTCCCTGTTCTCTCTGTAACATTCCCACCGTCCGCACCTCCTCCTGCTGCTCCTCCTAATCCACCTCCTCCCCGCAGGACCCAAGCAAGCGCTTCAAAGGAGACATCATGGACCTCCGGCTGGATATAGAAAGACGAAAGAGGTTTGCTGGGAAGGAGCGGGACTTCAAACGGGAAGGAGGCAGGAGCCCCGGGGGCTCCCGGGGGCCCAGCAGGGAGCGCTCCTCCGAGAAATCTGGGAAGCACCACAAAAAGTCCAAGTAAGTCCGACCGGAGTGAAGGTTAAAATAAAAAACACAATTTATTATTGAAACGTCTGGATTTATATCAGAATCTCTGTTTTCTCTCATTTAATTTAGAGTTTAATCAATAAGGCTCGGGCACATGACGTCACACGTTGCGCGGCAGCCATATTGATAGCTGGTCAGCCCACTGTTTACACTTTGACTTCGCGCCTGTAAGGACTAGCTTTCTTCTGCTAGTAGTTTGCTTAGTTTTTTGCCGTTTCATTTTACCTCTGCTGTCGTTATGGTCGCCCGTTGCTGTGTCGTAGGGTGTAGTAGCGCAAGCTGTGACTGGACGGGGAAAAAAATCCCAAATGGATTGTCTTTTTACCGTTTTCCAACCTGGAGGCGTCTCAATGGAAAACAAATGTCCTCCATAACAAAGAGTCGCCGGCTAGCATGGGTCGCTGCTGTAAGACGGCCAAATATAACTTTCAACTCAATCCCTGCGTCCATGAGAGTGTGTTCCCGGCATTTTCATTCTGGTAAGTTACAGAACATACTGTTTTTATTCATGTATCATTTCAAGTTAACCGTTGTTGGCTGATCTGTAGCATGTAGCATGAGCTGAAGTAGGGTTGTGTTCCAGAGGGTTAGCCAGGTCCACTGAAACACAAAACAGTTGTCCTACTCTGTTTATTTTGTCATTAATAGTTTATAATAGGGTTAATAGTTTTGGTTGTTTCACCAGGAAAGCCAGTAGATACATTTTTGATGTTTTACGTTAGTGCCTGCACCTAGTCTTATCACCACAACAAACACCACACCATGTTGAGACGGTAGCTTACCTTGGCTCTGATGACTGTGTTCTCATTCGGCTTGATAACTTCCATGTCATGAACTTTTCCATCTGTCAGCTGTTTGTAAGCCTCTAGCGACTTGTAGCAGCGAAACTCTTCATGTGTGTAGGCACTGACGCCACACACTAGATACGAAAATACGTCCTCCCTCGCAAACGGCGGTAGAAATTCTTCCCCAACGCACCACTCCTTGCTTTCTACTTCGTAGGGATCAAGTCCGTTTATGAAGCCCATCTTTTGCAGATAACGGTCCCTGGCTTTCCTCTGCAGTGTGTCTCGGTATATTCCGCATCCTTTCTTCGCTTTTAACATCGCTGTTTACTCGTCTTTCTGCTCTGTCTCTATGCTGTTTTAGGTCTTTGTTTACCGTAGCAACTACCTACCAATATGGCGGCGTACCCAGAATGCAACGCGCTGTGCCCGAGCCTTATTAGATTCTTATCAAGTTGCGTTTTCCAGATCTTATCCCTTCACTCATGGGGGGCGGGACTTCCTCTGGAGCAAAGCTGCGTTTCTATTGGTCTGCTGGACGTCAGCAACAGCATTTTATTGGTCAAGAGGAAAAATAAAAATCACTCAACCTTTAAAACTATGAACAGGAGAAACGGATAAATATGAAAAATATAAACTAAAAAAATAAAGTTTGAAAAAATGAAACCTGAATTTATTTAAAATAGAAAATGAAAAAGGACAAGTCTCCGTTTGTTGGAGGAAATGTTTGTTTCATTGTTACCATGGCGACGGCCTTTAAAGTGTTTCCCGCTTTTCTTGACGCTCGCTTCGTTCTTCCAGGAAAAGTAAGAAGAAGCGTGATCGCTCTCCATCCTCCTCTTCCTCCTCCTCCTCTCCATCACCCTACCCTCCCCCCTACAGGGGAAAGGAGTACGCGGGGGAGGGCATGGAGCACCTGGAGGAGGGCTACGGCCACACCCGCTACCCTCCCCGGGAATACGGCGGCCCCGCCGACCGGGGCCCCCGGGAATACGAGGGCCACTTCCCAGACAGAGGAAGAGGTCGTGGATTCGTAAGTTCCACCCCCCTCCCCCGTCTGTTTCTGTGTGATGAAGGTGAGGTGAGGAAGACGATTAACAGTGGAACTGAATTCCAGTTTCCCAGGATGAGAGGAAGAGGCTGGAACAGAGGAAATTATCCCGGGAACAGCAACGGAAACCCAGCCAATACCAACCCCCCAGTGCGCCCCCCGGAGGAGGACTGGGACCCTGAATACACGCCCAAGAGCAGGAAGTACTACCTGGTGAGTCTGGGAGCGCGGGCCAGCAGGGGGCGCCGTTCTCCGCGGGATTTAGTTTTATTCTCTGGTTAAAAATGACCTCCTTCCTCTTCAGCACGACGACCGAGACGGAGAGAAAACCTGGGTGGAGAACCGCGGCCGGGGGCGGGGCTCCTTCCCGACCCGCCGCGGCCGCTTCGTGTACCGGAAGGGCGGCAGCAGCCCCAAGTGGACCCACGACATGTTCCAGGGGGGGGAGGAGGGGGAGCTGGGCGACGACGGCGACGAGTTGGAGCACAAGGAGGCGAAGAGCTCCGGAGACGGAGCGGCGAAGCCGTGAACGGCGTTTAACGGTGGAAGGTTTTCTGTTTTATGTCTTTTTAAGGGAGAAGGTGTGAAAACGGAAGCGTTTGTGCCTTAGAGGAGAATAAACCTGCTGATGAAGACATGGTTCATGAACTTTCTGCATGAATTGGACCAATCAGCAGAGCGTCTGTCGGTGTGTGTGTGTGACATCACTCGTCTTTAGTTCACCTGACGGTAGGAAGAGGAAATCTATCTGCTGTAGGTTTAGGTCTAACTTTTTTAATCCCAGACCTTCTGCATGTCCTCATCTCACGTCTCCTGGGCTTTTTTTTACTTTAGCTTTAAAATGTCTTTTTGTTTTCAATAAATTTCCTCTAAGCCGGGTCGCTTCTGGACCGTCTCTTCATTTCTTCTATAATCATGTTTAAACCATTAGAACCAAACTGGGAATTCCCTAAAAGATCCAGTTTAGATGATATCTGGAAAAGAACTGGCATTTGTGACGAGTTTCTAAATGTGAATAAATTTAATGTTTGTCTTTCAGCTCATTGATGTAACATCAGATGTTTTATTTCTGAGAATAAAAGTTCAGAAGTTACAACTTTGCTAAATTTCTTCCTGTTTCCTTCTATTGTTGCCAAGTTGTATTCAAAGCTTTTATTCTCACCGATGAAACGGATCCTAAATGTATCTTCATCTTATTGGCCGTTCATCTGCCGCCGTAAATGAGCTGCAGGTTAGAGACTGACATTTTTTTCGGGAATCCCACGGGTCACGGGATTCCCGTGGGATTCCCGTGGGATGGGAGTCAGTATTAGTAACGATCACGGGATTGGGACGGTACAGGATTAAACATTAACGGGAGCAGACGGGAGCGGGAGCAATACAATAGTAACTTCCGCTCTGAGTTTTTCACCCGCGCTCAAAAACAACCAGAATGGGAGTGGTGCGGGAGCGGGAGTCATTCTGAATGGGAGCGGGATGGGAGTGGGAGTAATTTCACCAGCAGTGGGACGGGACAGGATTTAGATTTCTACTCTGGCCCGGGATCGGGACGGGACATCATTTTTTTCTGTGGGAGTGGGATGGGACAGGAGTGAAAATCCACTCCCGTGTCAGTCTCTACTCCAGGTGAGAGAGAGAGAATCATCCGTGTTTCCTGTCAGATGAAACCTGGAGGATCGACCTGAAGGCGTCAAACCGGCAACAGGAAATGATCCAAATAAAATCACTTCCTGGAAATCTGATGAAATGTCTAAAAACAAACTGCTCAGCTTGCAGAACGTCCATTAAAGCTAAACTGCACCGGAAGAACCCGGAAGTCTGGGAATACGGCTCCAGGTCCGAGGAGAACCTGAGCCCAGTGGGAGGCTCACTGGATCAGGTCTGTGGTTTGGAACCAGCAGCCGATCATCTGATCATAGAATAAATCTGCTCTCAGTCTGCAGAGGAGTGGAGGCCTAATGGTTAGAACTACAGCCTGGGTCCCTGAGCAAGACCCTGAACCCCACACTGCTCCCCAAGGGGAGGGGTTAAATGCAGAGTTTGTTGCTCTGAACTTCAGAGAATAATAAAAAAAAAAACATTTTAAACTAAGACCTTTAACAGCTGGAGGAACTGGTTTAACTGGAACTCAGTGATTTGATCAGGATCTCTGATCCTCACATGACCTGAAAGCTGCGGCCTCCATCTTTACTCCTTTAATAGACGTCAGCAAATAAATATTTCCTCCTCCAAAATCAACCAATCAGAACCTTTTCTGAACACCTTCACTTTGTTTCATCAAAATCATTCAGATAAAAGGTGAAAGTTTGAGAAATGTTTGAAATGGAAATGAAGTTAAACTGAAATATTTCTGAGTCATTAAAGGTCGCGACCTTTCTCAAAGGAAACTAATGGCCGCCGTTCTGTCAGACCAACATACCAACAGTCAAACGCATCCAGGAGACGTCAGATTAGCTTTTATACCTTTAGTGTTTGTACAAAAAAAAAAGACTTTAAACTATATCAGCATGCGTGTTTCCCTTTATTCAACTACTAAAAACTATTTAAGGTCAGATCGCCGTACGCTTCAAAAAACGCCAAAAAGTAAATCGTTTTACAGCCATACATGACTAAATGGATATACACCTGTACAGGTAGTTTAGTCTACTTTTAATATAAAACTAAAGGCATAAACGGGTATTTACTATGGGTATGCTGGTCTGATGGGGTATGCTCACCTGACAGAACTCCGGCCATGACCTCAGTCGGTTATAATTTAAAATATATAATATACATTTCTGTCTGCAGTTATTACACCGTTATAAGTGTCTGCTGTATAATCTACCACATGGCACCTTAAGGGGGTAATAAATATTATTCTCTGCAATAAATGCTCATAAGGCTTAATGAGATCATTATATTTAGATCAATGATTATTATCTAACAGAGCTACAAACTGCAGCAAAAACGTCTGCATTCTTCACCTGCCTTTGATTTCTAAATACTGAGTCCTTTATAGAAAAAAAAAACACTCAGAAAAAGATGCTAAAACCCTTTTTGAAACTAGAAAGTCATAAAAATGCTTTATTTCAGCAACATTAGTTTGATTTTATTATTCTCTTTTATGCTACGTTCAGACGGCAGGCAGCAGAAGCAGCTGGTTTACGCGCAAAGTCAATGTTTGATGCGCATCAAGGCGCAGCTAAAGTTCCTGCAGCACGTCTGAAGCTGCGCCTCATTAGCTGCTGGACGCGCCGCATCAACCAATGAGAGAAGCTGATCTGGGAGTTGGCAGGGAGTCAGACGCAGCACTGCTGATGCAGAGCGCTATGATCACTCCTCTGAAACAGTTTATTAACGCCTAAATTAACTTCAAATGTAGAAACCTGCCGGCAGAATATGTTGGCTTTTATTATCCTGCTGCCTGCAGTTTGTAGCACAGACCTGAAAAACGCTAACATCTACTTCCAGCCGCCACCAACAGGAGGGGAAAACCCTGGAGAGGCGAGCGGGCCTGAGGCAGCTGCTGCTGGGGATTCCCAGTGACAGCGCAGCGCCGGTATGTGGGGGTCTGAGCGGCTCCCACAGAGAAATAATCTTTGAAGGCAGGATGGTAATCTGGATGAACTGACTGCACTGACCATGTTTTCAGGAGGACTTTCTCACTTCAACATAGATTCTAACTACTTTCTACCCGCTGATCACAGCTAATATAGCCGCCATTGTTTCAGGCAGAGAAAGGATAGAGTAGCTCCGCCCACCGCGTATCAGACCCACTTCAAAGATGCTTCAGCTGCGCATCAGAACTAGACCTGGACAAGCATCACAAATGAATCAGGATGCGTGTTTTTGCTTCTCCTGCTGCTTTAGGTGTGATGAACGTAGCATTAGGCTTTAAATAGCCACATTATGGATTAATATACAGAATATTAAATAAATGATCAGTAACTGCAGATAAAAAGATCAACAGAACCAGAATAATATCATAATATCTAAGGAGAAGGTCGGGAATGGAAGGACTGATGCTCGGTTCTTATTGGTCCATGAACGTCCCGCTCTGCATCACTATAAAGCCTGAGACGTTTAATCATCTTCATCATCCTCAGGTAGGTCCTCACCTCTTTATTTTAACAGTCTTTCCTTCTGAGGAGGCGGGGCTGGCTGGGCTGTAGTCATGGGAGTCCGTCTCCCGGCAACCGTGACAGCAGCTGATTAGAAGCTGAGGACGTTTTGCTTTGAACCAATCAGGGACCATTCAGCAGCTTTTAGTTGTTACATTTTATTACATTTAGTGTTGATGTTTGACAGACATGTCGGACATTTGGAAAAACGGGGAAATTTGCGTCCTTTGTTGGTTCAATACATGACGCCATGTTTAGCCGCCAGTTAAAGAGCGATTCCATGTCTTAAGGGACCGGTGGCGACTTCAAGACATTCTGGATGATTTAGAAATAAACTGAACCTCCATGTTTGCGGTTGGAAACTCTTCATCTTCTATCTGAAGGTCTTCCTCCATTTAGAGCTGCTGGAGGAGAAGGTCCAGGTTCTGAAGAACAGACCGGACTCCTAACGGGGATCCTGGAGATCTTCCTGGGTTCAGTAGAAACCAACAGATGGAGAGTGGAGCGCCCTCTGCTGGACTACTGAAGGATTCATCTAGTTTATTCTATTGACTCCAAACAGTCCGGAGAAAGTAAAGAAACAAACAACAAACATAACTAAAAATTAATAGATAGAAACTTCTCTACAGTGAATGAATGAATTTTGGTTTTATATTTAAATAACTGAGATCAGAAACAAAAAGGATGGACTGATATCGGGACCACCGATACTCCAGAAGATCAGGTCTTCCCTCCAAGCCTGACCTGTTCAGTCTATTCCGGATTGTCCTTTCATGACCTTTGACCTGCTCCAGAATCCTGCTTTCTTTGCGGTTTCCCCTCATCCGTCTGTGCGTTTTGGTCCATCCAGGATTCTGTAGTTCCTCTCTGATTGATGCAGAGCGCCCTCTGCTGGAGTCTTCTGGTTAGTGGTAATGGACGCGGCCAATGGTTCCTGTCCCACTGGCCAGAATGTCCGGCTGCCCGTTTCTCCAGATTTCCCGGACGATCCGCTCCGGTTCCTCCAGACGCCGGGCCTTCTCCAGCTCCTCGGCAGATGT